CGATTACCAAATCTGTTTAAAGCGAACAGACCAGCAGAGCATGCATTGGAGTATGGTGCTAACTTTAAGCCTAGTAAAGGGCATACTTTCATTTTACTTTATGTCCACGGCTTTTTGCAGCAACTTGACAGTTTCTGCTCGTCCACCCTCAAGGGCCATCCGAAACAGACAAATCCATCTGCTTGGAGTAAGCACCATGGCGAAAGGGTGCCTGAGCTTCAGTAAATGTAGCAGAAGCTTTTATATTAGATTATCACCATTCAGCTTTCTGTTGGTCTGTTTTCATCCTGCTCAAGCCATGAAGGAAGGGGCCAATTTTGTAGACATTCAGCCAGTTCTGAACTTTGTTAAGAACATGTGCTGCCGACTATGGCACAGCCACCAGAGCAAGGACATCATTAATCCTCAGTGGGATGGAAATAAACTCTTTTTCTGCTCCTCTCTACCTGTAGATTCAAATTCAGCTTTTGATTTTTAATATGACAGGAGTAATCTGTCCAAATGGAAATGAATTTATTTTATACAAATAGGTGATAGTTATTTGCCAGCTTGAAGTAAATAAGGACCCATCTGTGTTTTATAACTGCTATCCAGAGATCTAGGTAGCCGGTCAGGCCAGCAAGTCCGTAGCAGCTCAACTTTGTGTTAAAAGATTTCAAGGGGTAAAGAACACTTTCTTTACTAACCTCTTGGTTATTCTAGTCGTGTTGCAACTGCCTGGTGATGTTAAGACCCTCCTCCATGCTTTTTCGGGCCAATAAATTTTTTTCAAAGCTATAGTCATCCCTGTTCAGTAGCATGTTGGTATCTACTTTATCACACTGAAAATCTGTCTGTTTTGAAAGGATTACAACCCTGTACATCAGTGCATGACATCACACTGAGACATTGCTTAATGATCTGAGACTCTGATGGCCATTGCTGCGGCTGCTTGTTTCTGGAAATATGTGACAGCTCTGGCCTATCTAAGCCTTGCTTACAGTTGCATTTTTAGCCTGTGCTGGCGGTTGTTTGTTTTAAAGCAGCGCTCACAAAATAGCTGATTGTGAAATGTGCCATCTGCAGATGGAAGGCAATGGGGTGCCAAGTAGAGATGTGATACAATGAAGCCCATCCGCTTTGTAACCCAAGTTAACTTCGGCCCTAAAAGCCTTTCCTTGGTTTTTATTTATATTAAGAACATTTAATAATGAAAGCACTTTGGTAGAAGAAAGTCACTTGCATCCAATGCTTGGAGGTGCTAATTGTCTTCCAGAAGTTCACAGCCATCCTGTTATTAAGTAGGCATGGGGAAAGGCTGCCTGGGCAAGCTGTGGTTACTGTACAGAGCTGTAATTCCAGTTTTGCTAAAAGGTTTAAAACTAACACAGGTCAAATTTTCAATAAACTTCGGGTGGATTTCCAGTTAAAATCCTTCCTTCCAGCTAGTAGTCCTGAATTCTTTGAGTTGAATTTACATTCAGATTTTCACTTCATTCAAATGAAAAACTCAGACAAAACATGGTGCATTTAGTTAAACTTTTGAGGACTTGGGCCATACATCTGTAAAAGTCTAAAGGGAATTTAAGCAGCAGAAACACCTGCAGCCCTGCATCCTGGTAGTCTGTTGATATAACTATACCTTTCTTGGATTAATTCATCCAATAAGTCAAAATTAGTTTTGCTTTAGGTTGGCTAAGGACTCTTCACACCAGATATAATTTGGTTAGATCTGTCACTTTATGTGACTTACATAAAGAGTTGTAGATAAAACAGAACATCTTGAAGTCTGAAAAGGAAGAAAGTTAGGTTTGCACTTTTGACTCCAAGATTTTATTTGTGACATTTTTTTGTTGTGATTATGATTTTTGCATTTCCCTCCTTCTGGAAGTAGTAATTGTTTGCAGGAGGTTGAATGAGATATCAAGGGGGTGTACCAAGTGTTTTCTGAGTGCAGAGGGAGACATAAAAACAAAGCAAAAAAATTATCTGGATGAAGAGAGGCATGAAAAGAAATGGGAGACAGCATGGCAGGCCAGGATGGAGACGTGCAAGCCTTTGCTGGTGGGAAGGTTAGGGCAGCTATAACTTAAACTAGAGAATCAGAACAAGGTTGAGAAGAAAATGGAAGCAAAAGGAAGCCAACCTGAAATATAGTCTAAGCCCTTAAATAATCTTTTCTTAAAAGTATCTTAGCCCTTCCTTAGCTGCCTGCATTTTCTCTTTTCCTCTTCTAAATAAAAATGTTTAATTTTTTCTTTATTATTATAAAACCACTGACTTGACCGCAGTTTTGGTGTCTCACAGACTTGTTGAGCACAAAAAAATTTGAGTAGATACGAAAGTGGGTTTTTTCTTTTAATTTAGCTCTTTATTTTCTGTGAAATAAGGTTTTTTATAATTCACTTCTTTTGCAATTTTCTAAATTTGGGTCATGTCCCTTGCTTTTCAGATAAAATAGAAATATTGTTAAAAGATTTATCTTCTCTGCCATTATCAAGCCTTTTAATATCTTTGAATAATTTTTCTTCATTTTTCTTTTCTTTTTCAATATTTTTCTCATTAGAATAAGTTCTTCTTAGGTCTAGAGACACGTTAATCATAAATCCCAGAATCATCCTTCTCCTTTTTTTGCAGTGTAAAGGGTGTCAAATTCATGCATTTGCTATTCAGGAGGAGACCTACGTTTTGGCTTCATGGCATAGACACTATGCATTTGCTTTCTATTCCTCTCTGGATGTAATTGTTTTAATGAATAACAATCACAAAATGTGCAGAAGTCCTTAGATCTGTAATAACCCTTCCACTAGCCCATTTTGGGGCTGGTAGAGTGTGTCTGTTCCATATAATGCACAGGGTTTAGTGCAGTACTTTTGAGGTTTATCTTCTGTTTTAGTTTGTCATTGGATAACTGCTCCACTGTCACTTTTGTACTGCGATCCCTTAGAGTTTGAAACAACCTTGATACAGCAAGGCGGATAATTTACCGTTCATCTCGAGTACTTCAATTTGTCTGCGTATGGTGCTTTTCTAGTACTTTTATACCAAAGTTCAGTGACATTTCTCTTTCAGAGATATGTTCTTATAACTGAAATACTAATTCTTGAAGTATTTTGCTACATGTAAGTGCAACGTATCTTACAGAAAACACTGTCTGTGTGGAAAGTATGGGACTAGTTGTTTGTTAGATTAACAATACCAGTTTTAAAAATCAACAGACCATTTAAAACTATTTTGCGTGTCTTGTACTCAATTGTGATGATTGCATTTAAAATGTGCAGTGTATAGCAATGCATGGGGAAAAACAAGTGGTTGTAGAATAAAGCTGGGCAGAATTTGACAATAAGGAATAAATTTACATAACATAAAACTGCAAATGGAGATAAGCTATTTCACTAAATTAAGCTGAATTAAGGAAATAGAATTAGCAACACATGTACAATGAACTGGAAATTTTGAAAGTGCCATGTTTTGTTTCCACCTGTTCTAAATAAAGCTTTCTTTTAATTGTACTTTTCAGAATGGCAATTTGCACATAGAAGTTGACCTACTCTAAAAATAAAGCATTTCTTAAATCTCTAATTTAAAAAAAAAAAAAAAAAAGAAGAAAGAAAGCAAACACTTCCCTAAATTCCTTCCTTTCTTTGCCTTTGGTTTCAAAGGAAAGAAAAAAACCCCAAACCTCTTCAAAAATTATCCTTTGCTAGAACCATGCTAATTTTTCATGTGCCAGCCAAGCACTGATAAGCTCCATTTAATGACACTGAAAAGAGTGGGAGGTGATGTCTCAAATATCTGCGAACTCAAATCCACCACACCTACCAATTCCAAAAGACGGGGAATACAGTCACAAATGGACTCCAGAATTGTTGCTTTTCATATAAGAGAAGGCGTGGGATATAAATTCACTGTGTTTTATTGTACTATGTGTCCAAGAACAGAAATCTATGGAATTGCTTTCCCTTGTCTCCCTGCAGATTTCTCTTTTGAAACAAAGTACTAGCTGACCATTCCTCAGCAGCCCTTTTGAAATAAACAATGAAATGCAGGGCTTAAGAAAGCCATAATAAGAGATTAAAATGCTTCTGGTTAGTCTTGATATAACATATTTGTTTGTCAGGCTTCCTGTGATTCCCACATTAACATGTCTTAAATACAGTGGGGGTTGTAGGGGTCAGGTGGGAGCTGCACAGCTGGAAAAATGGTAACGAGATTAATAAAAATCCACTTTACTCTGTGAAACAACCCATTCCTGTGCATATTGCATTCTGGTTTCACATAAACCTGTGCTATGGAGAGAAGATTACCTTCAACAGACATTGTGGAAAAATTGATGGTTCTGAAGAATTCACGGTTCTGGGTCTGATGTTCCATAGTGGTACCTCCAGGGCTGAGCCCCACCCCAGCCCACCAGCAACCGCGGGGCATCAGCCAGCGCCGCTCTGCTGCCAGAATTGCGTATGGCACTGTCAAATGGATTGCTTTTTGCTGACCCCTGAGCCTTTTAATGCTTTCAGACTGATCAGTTTAAAAGACTTGTTAAAAACAGAATGAAGGGATGACAGGCTCTTATTGATTGGGAAAAATAATCACATTTTATATAGGTAGGGCCTTCAGACACTGTAATGAATTTGATGCGAATAAAGATCTGACAGTACTACAGTTTATTGATTGGGAAGAAGTATCTTTCATGTTTATTCAGTAGCAGAGATCATTAGGACTTTTCTTTTAATTTCCCTTTATGCTAAGTCTGACACTAGCCCATGTAACATCCTCTAGACAGTGACTTTTGATTGTTCTTAGGAATAGCCTCATTCGTCTTATCCTTACACCATGTGAATTTCTTTATAAGCAAAACAGTATTAATCATCTTTAAAAAACTAAAGATCTTTGTACTAAATGCTTGGAAATTATTTTTAAGTCTGTACTCCTGCACTGTAGTAGCAGTCCTGTGCTAAGAAATTACAGTCACAGATGGCAGTTACCAAGGGTATTGATCATCTCCATCCTCTCTCTTTTAGCAACAGATCAACCCCTAACAATCATGACCGGATACAGCGCCTGAGACAAGAGTTTCAGCAAGCAAAGCAAGACGAGGATGTGGAAGACAGGAGACGTACTTATAGTTTTGAGCAGCCGTGGGTAAGTGTACAGAGTCCATCAAATCTGGAACAGTTGGCTGACTCCCACTGGCCCCGGGCTGGTCTGGAGCAAAGTGATAGGGACACAGGGTCCTCTGCCTCCAGGCTTCTGCCCTTTCTGTTATCCCCATTTTTTGGTTCTTTGATGTTTATTTCATTTTAAAACTTCTTCAGCCATCTGTCCTGTGTGCATATAGCATTGTTTGCTCTGTGTTTAGACCCTCGACTCTGAGATACTACTTGGATGTTTTTGCCTAAAAGGCAATATAAATTATGCTGAAATTTTCTAGGAAAATCAGAATAAAACACATACTAGCAATAAATAATTTAGAGGGAACATGTAACCTTGTAAACAGTATTTTCTCTGAAGCAATATCACTGTGATTAGTTCATTTCTTTAAGAGGAAGAACTATGTATTTTCACAGTAAAAAAGGAGAGATATGCATAATAGCATGGTTCACAGTAGTATGCGTTTGCCACTTCTATTAGCTGAGACTGTTCTGTCTTGAGATATAAGTACTAATTGATCATTTAAATCCTGTTCAATCTGATCTAGTGATGTGATACAATTATGTAAATCCGTGTGCTTATCTTGTTTAACACAACTGAATGAATCAGCGTTGCTTTTTAATCAATTACGTATCCTGAATTAGGGTTCTTTAAATATGGGGCAAATATTTTATTTTATTTTTGTTTAAAATTCTGCAATAATGATGATGGACAATTTGCTTGTGTTCCCAAAAAAGCGGGAGCTGTGTGATGACAGCAGTAGAATCTCTCACAGCTTCCTCTGAAGCAGGTGTAGGTGATGGGTTACCATCACTTAACATTACAATGCACATGAGACTGAGGTGGAAATAGTCAAAGATCAGCATCTGTGTGTACAAGTCACTGAGAACAACCTAGGTAATATCATAATGCATATGACATCTTTGGTTGCCTATTTTGGAGGATATAGAAGAATTTTTTTGGCTTTTACTGTGTCTTTGTGTCCTTGTCCATCTTAAACTCACCTGTGGTATTTTTGACATGCAGCATGGAGAGGAACAAAGGTAAATGTATCCCTAAATGACCTAACAGTGCTTAACGTACTGTATCAGGATACTGGCTTCTCTTTTCCCATGTCAGAAAACCTCTAACCTTCTCTGAAATTGAGTAAATAAAATAAACATATTTTTTATGACCAGATGTTCTCAATTTGATGGGGTGAAGATAATGTGATAGCTCATTACAGTTATAGTGTAACAGGTTTTGGGTGAAAGGGGGCTGGGTGTAGGAGGTACTTTCCATTATGCATATCAACTGCTGTTTAGTCTCCAAATGAGAGATTTGAGCAGCATTCTTGGGAAAACTGTGTATGAGAAAAACTTGCTCTCTTAAAGACTTGGGAACTTAACTACTGAAGGTCATGGGCCAAATTGTTGTATATCTAAATGCCATAGCAACTTTAGACAGGCAACTTGGCTTTTATTATAGTTTCTTGTAATGAGCGAGGAGGGAATTATTTGGATGACAGGCTGATTACCTTAGGAATGGAATAATTTCCTAAATTGTGGGTCAGAACATTGACCTTTCCTTTTTTCTCTTATTCAAACAAATGGGATCTCTCTGTTTACTCCCCTTGTACAGATCATGCAAATGTGCAGAAAGTGACTAATTCAGCTTAATGTATTAATATTAATTCTGAAGCTGATTGTTGCTTTTGTAGGAGCTGCTCTGTTGTTAAATACCTAGGTGACCAAATGTTTCATTTTAGATATGTACTTTAAAAAGAATTGGTCCAGGGTATTTTTGAATTATATTTTTTTTTTCCATCATGTACTCCAGCCTTTCAAGATCACAATGCTTGGAAAGGATAAAGCAATGATCTCATCCATTTCAGCAGTTCACAGTCATTTTGGTGCTAAGGAACCATAACCCTCTCTCTTAAGGAGTGTGTATTACTTTAACATATTAGTCTAAAATGAGGGACTTTGTTAAGACACCCTCTCAAAACAGATCCAGATGTATTATTAAATACCAGTGACACAAAAAAATGCAAAAGTGGTTTATAATACATATGCAGGAAAATACTTAGATACATTCGTCAACCTCCTTTCAGTCTTCTCCATCTGTAAGCTGTTGGTTACAAACCACAGCAGTGAAAAGTGCACCTAGGCGTGTACTGCTGCTGAAAAGTATGTTTTCACCTGAGGGAGATGGGTTGTGCAGCCTACATAAACAAAAGGCTTCACATTCAGAGAAGCCTCTAAGCTGCACGGCAGCAGCCAATTCTGACCTGGTTTGGATAGAAAGAGACAAAAAGAAACTATCCATGGAGAAGTGTGTGCTATGAGGTGATAAGTAGTTTGCATTTCTCATTAAGAAGGTGATGGGAGGGTTGAGGATAGGGAACAAAGTCCTGTAGTGATGTGGGACTATCGGTTACTTTAAGGAAGTGTAACTGAACACAGGGTTTGAAGGGTAAGTAATGGATACTGACGGAAATCTGGCAGCTCTGAGGATATTCAGAGGAGCTCAATAGCTCAGAAACCCACTAATATATTATCAAAATGATGTGGTGAACGTCACCAACTCCAATCCATCCCAGACCATTAATGGCCTGTGACACAGAAGTCTGGTTACATGTGACAAATACGTCAGTCTCCTCCAGAGGCTGGAGGCAGATCTCCATGCCCTGGAGCACTACATCATGGTGGCTCTGAGCCATACCCATGGCAGGCAGGCCAGCGCCTGACCCCATCCTTTCTGGCTATGCCCATCAGGTGAAGGTTGTTTCTCTGTAGATGAGCAATGCGACAGAGCTGGACTTTTTGCCTGGCTGTGTTTGCCCTGCCAGTAAACAAAATACTTGACTGCCTACGAGTGTTCATACAGCGTCAGGCAGCTTAACAGACACAAAAAGCCCTAGTGCTGGAATGAGATGACACTGCTATTAAGCAGCGTAACATTTCTGCTCAAGGCCATTTGAATGACACGCTGTTAAGTTTTATAACTGAGTAACTGTCGCAACATTGAGCTGTCTCTAAAATCCACTAGTTCTGCAACTGAGACAAGGTTTTATGGAAAAGGTTTTCACATTTGTTTATTTTAAGATAACTTTCTCAGGCTTCATAATTTTTTTCTTTTACATGGGTTTTTTTATTTTTAGTGTTTCAAGAAACAAGGTACAAGAGGGTTTCAAGGGCAATACTCTATGCTTGATGTTACACAGGAAAAAAAAAAGAAAAATAAAGTATGATTAATCCATTTTAATCCTGCTAGTGTTAATTTGTCAGAGCTTGCAGAAGTGTGTATCTGAGCATGTAGAATTGCATGGAATCACAGTATGTCTGCTAATATTTAAGGCCCTTTCTGTTGCTATGATATTTTTATACCAATGCAGGATGCTTTGAGGCTGATCCTTCTGTCCAGTACCAAGGTTGAGTCTATAGTTTTAGTTCTTTTCTGGGTAGTATTGGGTCTTCTGAGGTTTAGCCTTGCTTGCACCGTCCTGGGGTTAGGGGATTTTGGTTGTAATTTGTTCCATATCTCGTATTTTTGCCTAGTTACATCTTAATTAACAGAGCTCCACCTTGAATAACAAAACCACAACTTTATAACCCTAAATGTCATGGGAGTGAACAATCCAATTAAAAAAAGAGAGCATATTAAATCCATTAAAAAAGTACTACAACTGCTTGCCAGTCCTGCTTATAGAAGCACAGTGATGATCAAAAAAAACCCACAAAGGTGCCAGAGGTACAAAAGTTAGAGGTTTATTTCTTTAATACAAAGAATCAGTGCTAAAAAAGGAAAGTGGCAAAGTCCATTCAGAAATACTTTCTTCTTTAGTCATCCCAGATCTGTTTGGATGGTGGGAGAAAATTGGCATCAAAAGAGCAGCTGAGCAAACTCCACTCTAAATATTTAGGAGTCAAATAAAAAGATTTTTTTTTTTCTGAAGCGAACAGCTAACTGGGTCAAAATTAATATACTACCTGACTTGTCTGAGTAAAACTTTAATTACATGCACAAATAACTGCATGGTTTTCATAGAGGAAAGACTCCAGAGGTCCCAATAATATCTTTAGGCACAGCCTGATAGATAAATGCTCAGAAAATTTAGGGACTATACTTATTTTTTCTGGTGTTTGTTGGTGTGTAGATCTTGTCTCTAAGACCGATGTAGAGAAAAAAAAAATTATCTGTTGATGGTACTCATATCTTATCCCTGTATTCAAGTGCTTGACCTATTCAAAGTCATAATGAATTCTAAATAATTTTAAATTATTTTAGAAAACCAAAACCCTGATTTTCATTGCTGTAACTTCAACTGTAACATTAATTTTACCTGGAAAAATAAATAACAGACTATATTCAAAACAAACATTGTAAAGTTTATATCAGGCTGTAAATCATGGAGAATCACTCAACGCATTAAAGAGGAAGAAAAGTAGTATATTAATTCTTCCTATTATGAATTCATTTCAAGAGTGTCTTTCAGGATATTTTATTCAAGATATTAGGCAATATCTAATGAAGCATTGCAGTAGACAAAGAACACCTTAGGAACTAAATTGCTGTTTCTGCTATTGCAATATGTTTCAGAGTGGAAACCAAAGTTATGAAGGGCAGCCTCTCCACAGGTTGTTTCTCTTCAGTTGTGTAGTTAATATCCATTCCATGTTAAACCTGGGAGGAGCACCTCCTGTATAAGGACAGTCTGAAAGAATTGGGGTTGTTCAGCCTGGAGAAAAGAAGGCTCCAAGGAGACTTAATAGCAGCCTTCCAGTACCTGAAGGGGGGCTACAGGAGGGATGGGGAGGCACTCTTTATCAGGGAGTGTAGTGAGAGGGCAAGGGGTAATGGGTATAAGCTAAAAGAGGGTAGATTTAGACTAGATATTAGGAAGAAATTTTTCTCAGATTAGAAGATATTTTTAGAAAATTAGCAGATATTTTTCACTGTGAGGGTGGTGAGACACTGGCCCGGGTTGCCCAGGGAAGCTGTGGATGCCC